ACTTTTAGTCTTCTTTTAGAATATAATTTCCTTTAGGCTGTTAACGATTATCAATCTATCTCCAATTAAAAAAAACAAACAAAAAATCTGGTTCTACAATCCATATTGACTAATAGGAAAGGACTAAAATCAGCATAAAGCAATACTGAATCCTTAAAAATGCTACAAGTGATGAAAACACAGATGATGGTCATCAGAATTTGAGTGTACATGTGATTTATTAGTATAAATACTTGGACAATATACATGTAGAAGTGTGACAGTTATCACAGGGAAATATACTTCTCCAGAAATTAGTTAAGAAACAGCTGTGCTTCTATAAATTTATAAATTGAAAAGACTTATGTGAAGGTAAGACCTTATTTAGTATCCCTTTTCTAAGCAAGTTCCAATGAAATTTAACATCTTTATCCATATCCACTGCCATCAAGTTGATTCTGACTCATAGCATCCCTGTAGGACAGAGTAGATCTGCCCCATAGGGTTTCTAAGGAGCAGCTAGTGGATTCAAACTGCTGACTGGGTTACCAGCCGAGCTCTTACCCACTACGCCACCAGGGCTCCTTAACATCGTTAAATTACTTTTATTTTGATCCTGTTCCAGTTGCACAATGATATGGGGCATAGGTAACAGGTTTAAGAAGCCTAAAAAATAGCATGAGCATTTTCAAGTTCATCTCTTAGGATGAAGACGACCTGAATTTGATAAGCTAGGAAACAATTAACTTTTTACATGGTTCAGTTCCTTCATCTATAAAAGGGGGGTAATGCTAAAACTCACCTTTGTAAGCTTCTAGCAAACATTGTATGATATTTAAAAAATGTCACAGTTCTATCTGAAGTACAATGTTCAAATAAACATAAAGTGAAACTGTTGTACCAGAGAGACTATATCTATTATTATAAAATGGCGATAAAATATAATCCAAAAAAACTACATAAATAGCCATGCTACATTAAACCTTCACTTTTACCATTCTAGAAGGATGATGACAATGTTGATTATTAAGATACTAGAATCATCCAGATATTTGGTCTTAACTCTTAATTGCATGTTGCCATAGCCCTGGTTTTCTACATTATTTTCTTACCAAGAATCTATTATATAGTGATGACTGTTGCACAAAATGGTGAATGTAGTCAATGTCACTGAATTGTATACATAAAAATGGCTGAAATGTTTTGCTACATATATTTCATCACAATAAACATTTTTAAACAATTTTAAAAATCTATTCTGGCTCCAAAGAGTTTGTAATAAGCAAGCCCAAAGTAATTATTAAAAACCATTTAACCAGATTAGTATTTCTACTGGAATTTTACTGAAGAATTGAAGACTAGGAACCTAGGAAATAGAATTAATATTTATTTACAAGAAATGGTATCATCTATTTAATACTTATAAAATGATCTTCCTTCTGGTGTCTAATTTAAGAGAATGCCCATCTATTGCCAATTCCTTCCATTATCCACTGTTTTCTCTATGGGAAAAGGCCCATGCCAATAATAATAAAAAAAGTTGTCAATAACTCTCACAATTTCATTTGCCTAGCTACAAATACACCTTTCTACTGTGTGGTACAGACTGCATTTCTTAAGCTTCTACACTCCTTCTTTAGCATGTTAACATTTACCAAAGCCCAGCAAGTGTTCAAGTCTCACTTGCCAAGGCCTCTGCCACACCTGAGATCACACTCCAGCAGTATTTATAATCATCACTGACTACAAAGGACAAATGCACTTACTGGATGCCCCCAACAAGTTAGTCATTACTGAGAAATTTTAAGGGCAATATGTTTTAGAGTTAATAATGCATGGAACATGTTCACTTCAGCTAGCTGGCAAGATCTCAAAAGGGCCTGACCAAAAATAAATAAATAAAAAGGATGCCAGTTGGCAGGAAAGAAGTATGGCTCTTGAATGACTCTGGAGGAGTACATGGAGAAGCTGAGATAAAAACACACTGCCTCAGAGAACTTACCTGGGCAAACTTGTGAATCTGTTCTACCACTGCGGCGAACAGAGCGTGGACACTTTCGTCAATCAGACTCTGCATGTAGTGCACTGCCTCTTCGTCAGACAGGTCTAGACGGAATTTATCCTGAACCTAGAAGAGAGCGGTTTGTTAGTCTTGTTAATGAAGACAAAAAGGGACATATTTTGAAGAGACAGAATCAAACTGATGTAGATATTATTATACTATATCATGAGCGATTTCTATCCCCCCCCAAATTATTTGTAACTACCAAGAGAAGTTCTGAATATGAATCTTTTGAGTGTTGTAGTTTCCTGTTTTCATTAACATGCTCTTTCGTTATACCCTGTGCTTGCTGGTTGTAAATATTTTTAAGCATAATAACAACAACAAAAAAAAAACCTAACAGAAAATTTGATTCTATTAGGCCCTTCAAACTCAAAAACCATTCTTTGAATACTCAAAGATGTGCTTTATTTTTTT